CATGAACTCACCAGGTCCCCTTCACTCCCACGTGACCTTAGTTTGGCTTAAGCTGACCGGAGTTTTATTGCTGTGTGTGTCACTCAGAAGTCAAGGAACACGTGGTCTCTGGCACAGTGGAATTCAGCTGCTGAAATGGTTGCTATAGGGGATCTAGTTTTGTGTCTCAACTCTATTTTCCAAGGTACTGGGGAATCTACCTTACAGTAGCAAGTTGCCTACCAGAGGCTAGCAATGCCAGTGAGAAAGAGGCCCGAATCTTGCTAAACTGACATAGGTCCCTCATCTACCATGGAACCAATCACTTCACCAAGGCAACAGAACACACACTCGACTAGAGGGCTCTATGATATGTCCATTCCTGATATTAGAAATTCAAATTAACAGTGTGAGAGAGATTAGTGATTTCCCCCTTTCCAGAAAAGAAATGTGTTCTGTTAACAAAATGAATGCTAAGAAAACAAAATTATAGTACTGCATATACCGGTTCTAACCTGTGCTGCCCAATCCACCTCTCCTACTCATATATATATATATATATATATATATATATATATATATATACATATATATATTCTCTTCAGTGAAGCCAGAGGGTCTCCTTCCTCACCTCCACCCTTCCTAAGAGTGAATGACTGCCCCGCCCCCTCCCCCCACACCCATCCTATGAGGCTCTGTGGTCAGTTCCTGCAAGAGATTTTTCCCTGATTACCCACAACATTGTAAGTTCAGGCAGAATTAGAAGCCATCAATAATCCTGCAGTTCCTTTTGGTTGTTCCTGTCATTGTGCTGATATTTGTACAGCAGTCTTCATTCCTAGAGTAAGCGTCTGTTGACTCAGTCCCCCGAGTCTATAAAATTAGTGTAGTTCTTGGTGTCTAGTCTTTATTAACTGAATTTGTGAATGAAATTGACCCAAAAATTCAGAGAGGGAAAGAGGGAGAGAATTCAGAATAGTTAACCAATCAGAACGACTCTAGATACAGTTATCGAGTGGAGGTAGTGGCCTAGAAGAATGTTGCAAGGACTAAGCATAGTTCCTCCAGCTACTGGGACGAGAGGAGCTCCCAGGTGCCATGGAGAGCAAAAGCATCAAGAGGCAGCAGGTACCTTTTATGTGCAAATGGAACTGTTCAGTAGTTCATCATCTGCTACAGATATTCTGCTGTGCACTTGATAATTTCCCAGCATATACATATTCACATGCATTGAAATGTATATATTTGATATGTGCATTTCATATGTGAAATAAAGGTTTGCATCAGTTGGCCATTCTTACAGTCTCTTATAGAAAAACTTCAGTAGTATCCAGGAAGTTTGCCTTTGGTTGGAAAAACGCAAAATCCATGATGCTCCCCTTCCACAGCATCCGCTCTGGCTTCAGATACCAGACCCAGAGTAGATATAGCATCCATGATGATATAAGTTCCCATGACAATGTGCATCTCTTGTATGCAGTCTAATGATATGCACACCGCCCCCAGACTCTCTCCATTTCCCCAGAAGAGCAAACATTGGACATCTCCGGAGAGCTTAAGGCAACAAGGGTTGGAGAAAGATCTAGAGAAGCTATTTCTGTATTCACAAAGGAAGCAGCAGTGGCCAGGTCCTGCCAGTAGGTGAATTTACAGCACATAATTCTTTCAGAATGAGATATGCAAATTAAATCAATTAAATCCTGGCTGTGCTCGGCCATTCTAGAGCACACAGGCACTCACGGTCACATTAATTGAAACTGTGCGGGAGTCTTAGATTTGGGGTAATAAGTTATGCCTGAGACCATCAACAGGCAGTGCATTCAGATTCAGGCTGAGTAGGAAGAGCAGATGTTAAATCATTCAAGGAGCCAGCCAGGACTGCATGCCAGAGAAGCCCGCCATGTGGCATTGACTACCAAAGAGGAGTGCAGTGTTCAGTCCATGAGAGAAGCTGCTCTCTCTCCAGACACAAGGATGAGGAAGGGCAGTAGTTAGGGCCTTGACTTATTGCAAAATGAAAGAAACACAGTTTCAGAACAGAACAGGGTCGACCTTAGAACTCAAGCAACTATACACCCACTCCTGGTTGCCTGAGATAGAAACATGAATACATCCTCGATTTCTCCCACCTGACCAGCTCTTTCCCACAGCTAACCTTTCTCTGCCTCCTACTTATGCTCTTAATTCATCAGCCTTCCAGTCCTCGCTGGTCCTATCACCTGAGACCAAAGGCATCTCCTCTCCAGGATGTCTCATATTAGCATTTGCCCGATTCTGCTTTTGTTTACCTCTGAACCACCCTCCTTGTAGAAGCTTTAATGTTCTTTTAAAAAAATTGAATCTGTCCCTCCTTGCCTAAAAATTCAATTGCCTTCGCTTTGCATTTTGAGCAAAATCCCAGTTTTGTATGACTTAAGTAGCAAAGCAAAACAGGCTGCTAGGTGTGGTCTGGGAGCGCACTTGTCCCCTGTGCATCAATTCTACCAAACTGGTCCGAGTCAATGTCCTCTAAGACAGTAAGCCCTTTCTTTCCTTTTCGGACGGTTTGTGATGCTGTACCTTCTTGGGATAGTCTTCCCCATTCATCCCAGCCTCACGCATAATCTCTTTGTGTGGCTAGTCCTTCCTGCCTTATGGTCACACCTTAAATGTGACCTCACTGAGCCCTTTTCTCCCCTCCCCCCAGCTTAAGTGGGTTTTATTAGAAAGGCAGGGAAGGGGGAAGGAAAGAGAAATGAGGTAAAGAGACACAGAGAGAAGACAGAAGAAGAGAGACAGGAAAAGTCCTGTCTGCCCCAGGTGAACAGTGGGAAAGAGAGGAGAGGAAAAGCACGTAGATCCAATGAGCCCTTTTCTAAACGTACTATGTAAAGAACACCCTTTCCTGTTCCAAACCTGAAATACCACTTTCCCCTATAGCAGTGGTTCCCAACCTTCCTAATACTGCAACATTTTAAGACAGTCCCTCATAGTGTGGTGATCCCCAACCATAAAATTATTTTCATTGCTACTTCATCACGGTAATTTTGCTACTATTATGAATCATGGTGTAAATATCTGTGTTTTCCAATGGTCTTAGGCGACCGCTGTCAAAGGGTCGTTCAAACCCCCAAAGGGGTCATGACCCATGGGTTGAGAACTGCTACCCTAGAATAGGGTTTCCTCATCACCAGAAACTGAGAAACAGTAATTCACACCCTGGCATCTCAAGTCTGTCAGTGCCTAGACCATAGCAATGAGAGATTAAACACTCAGAGATCTTCTCCTGCTGGGATCCATTTCCTCTGTCAGCAGGCACACTGCAAAAGGATGGCAAGGACCCACTTGAGTTGATTTGTCTTCAATCTAGTCAACAAGGCGAGGCAATTTAGCCTTGTACATTCTAACTGAGTCTTAATGACCCAACCCAGGGAGATCCCTATTAACATATCAGGGAGATTGGCTGAGAACTTTGATTGCCCCTCTGGAGATCTATTAATCCATGATTTATTAATCTACTAGAGGAAGATTTCGGCAACCCTAGAATGAGGTCATTAATCCTTCAAATATTATTTTTTTCTCTTCCCCCTTCCGGCCCACTTCTTAGAATGACTTCTGAAGATTGTCGCCCCTGAGGTTTTGTTGGCTCATACCCTACCTACCTACCCTTCAGCCTAGATCTCTGGGTATCCAAAGTGCCCTTGACAGAATTGTCACTATACACTTAACTAACTCCTGTACTTCTTAATCTGACTTCATAGATCTTGGCCCTGTAAAGCATTTTAATATGTTTAGTTGTGACTTCACATTTTCTGATTGATTTACCCCTATCAGTGGCATTCATCTTATGCAAACACTCAGTTTATAAATATGCTTGAGAATAATATAACAGACGCTGTCTCTGTCCCTATGAAGAACACAATCCATCATCAAATCGTATTTTGCATGTTTTTAAAATATTTTTTTCAAAAAGCAGAATCTCACCTCTTTCTAAAATGTGCGGTAGTGGCGCATGCCTTTATTCCTAGCACTCAGGAGGCAAAGGCAGGCAGATCTCTGTGAGTTCGAGACCAGCCTGGTCTACAAGAGCTAGTTTCAGGACAACCTCCAAAGCCACAGAGAAACCCTATCTCGAAAAAAACAAGCAAACAAACAAAAATGTGTCTTTCAGACAGATGCAAAGATCCATAACCAAGAACCAGTCCAAACTCTGGGAATCCAGGCGAAGAGAGGGAGGAGGGAACATATGAGCAAGGGAAGTCAAGATCATGATGGAGAAATCTACAGAAACAGCTGAACCAAGCTCATGGAAACTCATGAACTCTAGACCTACAACTGTGGAAACTCCAGGGGACTGAACTAAGCCCTCCATATGTGGGAGACAGTTGTGAAGCTTGAACTATCAGAGGGGCCCCTGGCAGTAGGACCATGAAATAATCTTGGTACATGAGCTAGCTTGTTGGAGCCCATTCCCTATGGTGGGAATGGGCTCAGTCTTAATGTGTGGGAGAGGGGCTTGGCTCTGCCCCAACCTGTTATGCCAGACTATGTTGATTCCTCATGGGAGCCCTTACCTGTGAGGAGGAGTGGACTGGGGATGGGCTAGGGGGGGAGGCGAGGGGGGGCAGGAGGAAGGGTGGGAGGGAGAACTGTGGTTGGAATGCAAAATGAAATTAAAAAATGGAAAAAATAAATAAACTGTGAATCAAAAAAAAAAAGTCTTTCTTGAGCTGGAGAGATAGTTCAGCAGTTAAGAACACTTATTTACTCTTGCAGGGGACCTGGGTTCAGTTCCTAGTACTTTCTGTGTGCTCTTGCACGCACATGCTACACATACAGACATCCAGGAGCACACACATACACATAACAAAAATAATTCCAAGTTGTCTTTCTATGAATTAGTGAAATTGGAGGGTGTGTGTAATAATACAACCAGGATTAGTATTGTTGCACTCTATTTAAAAGGTATGTATCTATCAATGTTAGAGGAGAATGGAAGCATTGCTCTGTAATTTAGCTTTCATTTTTCCTGTTTGCTCCAGGTTTCAATAATACAAAGCCAGTTTCCAGTGTCTGGAGATAGAGTTTCTCAGAAGCCAAGCAGAAACGTGGGATCAATCAAATTCATGAGGTTAAATAATGAAAACTGACGAAGCAGGCACCAGGAACTTTGGGGCAGTGACGTGGGAGAGATGACTCCGTCTGTAAAGTACTTGCCATACAAAAATGAAGAGCTGTTTGTTCCCCTGTCTTATGTAAAGGACACAGCAGAGGCCTGCAATCCCAGCACTGCTGAAGCAAAGACATGTGGACCCCCGGAGCTCAGCATGTCCAAATGGCTGAACTCCAAGTTCAATGACAGACCATGTCTCAAAAAGCGAGGTTAAGAGCAACTAAGAAAAGCGCCCGGTGTCAACCTCTAGCCCCTACATGCTGTGCATAAACATACATTCACAAACATGAACACACACACACACACACACCACATAAAAATAAATAAATAAAAATTGAAAAGGACAATTACGCCTTCAACTGCAGCAGTCACCTGAGTGCTTCTGAGGGACCATAGCTTTGTGGGGCATAAAGTTAGCTTTGGTGTGTGGGGGGATTCTTGGTCAGTCGGGTCTTCTTTTCAGGACACCCTCTTTGCAAGTTCTCAAAACACTGCCTGCTAGCAGCTCACATAGGCATCCCTTACCAATAATTGTTCTTCCATGTCCAAGGGTATTCTTCCTATTAGGGCAGCCTTATCCAATGGCTAGCTGATACATGATACAGAGAATCACTATTATTCCTCAACTGAAGACATCAGTGTAGGTCCACACCAGCCTTGGAGTTTCTTTGGGCGGTCAGGTGTGGCTCCTATGCAAAACTGCAGTTTAAGCTTGCTCTCTGCCTAATTCAGCTTTCTGCACTCCCTTGAAGATATTCCTGAAAGTACTCCCCAGAGAGAGGCTATTTTCAGCCTGTATAGCTTCCCTCAGTTTCACAAAAGGAGTTATACAATAATAGGTGGTCACAGAGACCATAGGGTTGTATCCAAGACAACCAAATACAGTGATGTATGTGCACTGCATGTCCAGGTTCTTTTCTACATTAGGTCATATGCCACCATGCCATTAACAGGCAGTTTACACTTTGTAGCTCTATTTTTAAACCCTTGAGAATTTCTATTAAGTCAGGTTAGTTCTTTCCCTACTAATCTCCTAAGTTGCCAGGTCCCTTAGCGTCATTCATCTGTCTGTCTGTCTGTCTGTCTGTCTATCTATCCATCCATCATCTATCTGTCCTTCTGCCCATTGATCTATTTATTGAGAGCTGCACAGACTGCACAGTTAGCTGCCAGACTTAGTAGCATGTGCACCCAGAACCACCATTAGCAAGCACACCAAGTTCTAAGCACACTCTCGAATGTGGAGAACAGTGTGGTGGCACAGGGATCATTGGCACTAAATGCCTCTACAGATGCTCTTGGCACCTGGGATCCCAGTGGGATGCTCAAAGGCTTGGGCCCTCTCCTCTTCTGATGCCATGTCATTCACAGATATTAGACCTATGTATTGGTCTGAAGGCACTTACTCCTTCCTCCTGCTGTATTAGTTGTTATTTTACAGAGACTTTATCCCACCAAATTACTTGGACATCTGCCTTTATCATTTTCTTCCCAAAGAACCTGGTAAGTCTCTAGAGTGCTCTCTGGGACCCATGAGGAAAAAGTACACACACACACACACACACACACACACACACACACACACACACACACATAATCCCAATGTGAAAATTGGGATCTTGGAAGGACAAGGGGGCATTCTGATTTACTTCTGTATTCTTAGCTCCTAGCAGATAAAATATGCTCATAAATAGTTGCAGAACTAAGAAAAGAAAGGGCAGTAGGACTAGATTGAAAGAGGAAGGGTTAAAGGGCAGAAGTAGTTTTGTTTTATCTCAGCACAAATATGTTCATCCACAGAATGCAGGTATAGTCTGCCTCTTCATGTTTCCCATATAGTAGCCTAGCATGCGCAAGACCCTGGGCTCAATCCCCAGCACCATAAAAAGTACATATGAATAGCTATCTATTAGTGTATGCCAGATGGAGAAATAATGAGCCACATATCTATGGTGTTGACCAAGAATTGAAACACAGAAGCATCTTAGTCTATTATAGGGCAGGTAGCACCCACATTTTGCCCAACACTAATTGATCAGCATTCTGCACATGCTGTGGAATTTGACTAATGTGAAGGGGGATGAGACTCATCACTCAGGTAAATGGACATTGATGTCACTGACTGCCCTCCCAGGATGCTACAGGGAAACGTCCCACTTAATGGCTCATTAGTCATTTTCAGGTATAGCTTGAGCTTTCTCCTCACTAATTAGGTTGACCTTTCTAGGGGCGAAGATTTATACTGTGAATATATTACCTGCTTCAAAAATCATCTGTTTATAAGTGAAATGGTGCTGTGGCACCTAGGGGGATTGGCAGATATAGTGACAGGAGCGCCCCTTCATTTAGAACATCTTCATCACCTTTAAACCATCTAAGGCTTTTAAAAATTGCCCTAACTATTTCAAAACCTTAGGACTTTCTATAAAAACAAACACTGCTACCCAGGGCCTGATTTGAAGTCAACCTTTGAAGGTGTTTTGCTGACTCATCCTTAGGTCAATTTCTGAGTCCCGGAGTAGAAGAATGACCAGTAGCGATGGAGATTGTCTCAGTTCAGTGTCCCTTAGCAACCAAAACTGCACTTTCCTGTTGCCATAACAACTATGGGATGAGCATCAAAGTCATCAAGCTCATTGAATCTCTGTCAGGAAGCAACCCCTCTGACTTCTCCAGCTCCTTTTCTCTGTTTGCTCTCACAGGAGATGGCTTACAGAAAGTGGCATTTGCTTCTCCCATCTGCCTCCCAAGCTTCTCTAGAAAGCAATCTATGAAAATACACAAGATAACCCATAAAGGAGGGAAGACGAAGACCTTGGCTCATACAATGATGTGGTCTTTATAATCTGGCATTTACACGGCACTGCATATATGATGGTTTTCTTCTAAAAGAAAGGAGATGGCCTATACTTCAGGGGAAAGGATTTTGAAATACTGAACACCTTCTTTTTCAATGAGATAGTTTTCATGACTTTTTTGCATTTTCAGAGAATTTCATAAATGAGTACTGTATCTACATCACTGCTACCCCACCCTCTCCCCATCCAATCCCTCCAATATTTCCTACAACTCCCTTTCAAATTCATGGCCTCTTCCTCTTTCATTATTACTATTATACACATATGTAAGTATATATAGTAAAACCTACTGAGCCTGTTTAATGTTGCTCATAGGTGTGTGCACGCAAGTGTGTGTGCACACGTGTGTGCGTGTGTGTGTGCGCAAGCGTGCGCAAGTGGACACGTGTGTATGCCTCTCCACTTGGCATTGGACAACCTATCATGTACCTGGAGAAGACTCACTCTGTCTTTCAACAGTCAGGAATTGCCTGTTGCTATTCCCTTGGTTGCCTACCAGAACTCGAAGGTAAGAACCTATTGCTAGAGATATTTGTCATGATTCTTAGTACACACTTTGCAGTTTCTGAGCAAAGAGGGGAGAGTGAATCTGAAAATCTCCACAGTCCCTTTTTAGTCTGTGAATCTCCACATGTCTTAGTTTGCAAGAGCTGGCTTTCAAGTGGGAAACCAAAGAGAGTCCCAGCTCAGGCTTCCCCAGCAAGTGTGAAACAATCAGCTTCTCCAAACAACGACAAAAGCCAGCTCTTGCTGTGAGCTCTGTGCTCCTTCCGGTGTGTTAGCAGTGGCAGTATGCATGCCGCACTGCTGAAGATGATTATGCAGCAAGGAAGCCTTCCCCATGTGGTCTTTCGGGAATCATAAATAGACAACCTTAAAAATGGATTTCTTCCTCAGACCTCACCAAATTCCAAGGAAATCTGTCTGATATTAGCAGATGCAACATTTGGAGGTGTTAGTCATAGCTATCTTAAGGTAGATAAGTTTCCCAGCAAAACTGACTCTTGACACTTGGAGGAATAAATGATTCTCATTATATTCGGGAAAAAAAACTGCACTCTGCTGAAATGAAAGACAGTTGATCACGTAATGCGGGGAGCAAGGTGTACCAGGGAAATTTCATTGTAGGGCATGCCCATACAATCATTAATTTAATACTGGCCTTTTTTTTTTTTTGGTTGATGTTTTTATGGAGTCATGTGGTTTCCTGTTTTGCCAAAAAACAACGCCAGTTCAGGTGGTATTTTCAAGCATCTGCTCCCTTCCTGGTTCTATTGACCAACCCATCCATACACGAAAGACTAAATGTATGCACATGGTCGTCTTCCCTTCCCCAGGACACACATCTTCAAGAAGTTCTACTGCAAAGTCTATCCAAGAAGATCATTCCCATAGATGAAAAGTTTCCTGGGAAGAAGAGGGCACTGAAGGCGGAAAGGCTCCCCGCATTGGTATTTCTCAAGGGAGAAAAGTGGCTCCTCACAGAGAAGCAAGATACCTGCAACTTGTCGCCCCCCCACCTCCTGCAGGCACTGGGATCTAAGCAGTATCTTCAGAGATAGGAGATGACAGCTGAGCAACAAAAAAATTAATTTCTTTTAAAAGTACTAATCAAAAACAGAACCTGGCACATAGTGGACACTTCATGAATTCTCTAAAAGGAATTCATGAATCCTAACAGCAGCAGTTAACATAGCTGCCCCACAGAAGAATTCAATCAAATTCGTCTGCTTATGGGCGAGCCATGCAATTTATGTCTCATGTGTGTCACTGAGAAGGCATTTATGTCTGTCAGGCTCTGCTGTGCACTCCTACTGACACAATAGATCTACAGGCAGAAATTCTCCCACCTTCATTTTACAGGTAAAGAAACAAAACCAGACATTAATAACAAGCTAGAAACTATGTAGGGAAATGACTATGGTATTGGGGAATATGGTGATTTGAACCCAAATGCCCCCCCATATGCTCATATGCTTGAATGCTAGTCACCAGGGAGTAGCACTATTTGAAAGGATTAAGTGGTGTGGCCTTGTTGGAGGAAGTGTGACACTGGATCCCAGCCCATGCCAAGCCCAGTGTCTCCCTCTCTGCCTATGAATCAGGACGTAGCTCTCAACTACTTCTCCAGTACCATGTCTGCCATGCTTCTGACCATGATGACAAGGGACTAACCCTCTGAAACTATAAGCAAGTTCCCAGTTAAATGAGTTCTTTCATAAGTGTTGCTTTGGTCATGGTATCTCTTCCCAGCAATAGAGTACTGACTACGGGATTATATTCAGTCCTTTTAGTTCCTAGCCCAGTGGCTTTACTCTAAGGTGGAAATTTTCTCCAAGAGGGATATTAACTTAGAATTATTCATTTAGAAAATTCAGTTAGGAAGTTAGAATTCCTGGCTGGAGTTGAGAAAAATCAACTAGACTTAT